AAGAATGAAAAAGAAGCAAATTTTAATGAAAAAATATAAAAAAGTAGTAATAGCAGCAGTAACGAAGATTGTTGAATGATATCACAAAGTGCTTTACTTCAAAGGTAAACTTACTTTTTTCTTCTTTTTTTTCTGTTTCATAATTTTTGAAAAATTCGTTTCCATAGAAATTTAAAGAAAGCTATCGAAGTAGAATTCAATTTTGCTAGCCTTCATCTATTATTTTTTCCTTATTATGACTATATTTTCCTAGACCACTTCAATATTGCTTATTTTGTGCCCAACAATCAAGACAAGCATTTTTAAACACATTTCTCATAATCAGCCTAATGATTTTATTTTTTCATTTTATATCAATTGAAAAATCATTTTGTTCAAAATGGAAATAAAATAGAATAATGAAATTCTCAGCAAAACTGGAAATCATAGCACAATAAGAGCATAAAAAATATGCCAATTAACGAATTGATAAGCTTTTTTAAATCAAAAATTTCAATGAATGAAAATTTAAACCAATGAAATATGATAGCATTTTACTAAAGTTCATTAATAGTAACACTTTAAAATAGACGATTGAAAAATTCGTGGAATTTTTCACGACAACTACTATACTTACTGTTAAGCTTAAAAATCTTGCACTTATATTATTAGCCAGAATAACTCACTCACAATAGCATTATATACGATTCATTTAAACATTTAACAGATCTATTCAGTTCTTCATTTTTGTAAATTAGAAATTTAATGGAAACAGACATGATGAGGAGAAAAGTACCACTTGAAGATAAGTGATTGAAGTTTGTGAGTAATTAGAGCATAAGAATATTATCAAAGTAATTCGCATGCAAATCTTTTACACTTCAATAATTTTCTTAAAAGATTAAACAAAGCCAAAAAATGATTTCATATTACATTCTGCTTTTAAAATTCTGAAGATACCATGTGTGCATGTGGATATAATAATACCTCCAGAATATTTGACTTCAAAAATGTTAAATTAATAAAATTAACTTAGAATTAAAAGGCTGAAATAATCAATTGCATTTTTATAAGACCGGAAGCGCTCATCGTATTGCTACTGAATTGAATTAAGAAAAAGAAAACAAAATGAAGTGAAGTGAGCATAGGTCCAAGATTAGAGTAGCATAAAGTAAAATCAAAAATGTACTCATAGCAAATGCATCTGTCATGTGTCCTTTCAATCAAGCAATTTTTACAGTTTTATTTATTGCAAACACTGAAATGGAGGCATCGATCAAATGGAAACACAAAATAGGAAAATAGTGTGAGTGTTGATGAGAGGGAAATAGGAGAAATATGTGTGAAATTAAATGGAATCGGAATGGAGGGAAGTATTTAATTAAACTATTGTCAATATTTAAATATCAAAATAAACTATCACTGAACTTTATGCATTTCAAAATGCTCTAAGGATAATGAATGAGTAAGCGTACTTAAAGAACAATTATACTTTATTTCTGTCACTAATTTCTTAAACAAATCATATTTTCAAAAAATGTCAAGCGCATATTTTTCGAAATTTTGAAATAAACAACAAAATGAATTAAAGCGAAAAGTATTACTTAAATCTAGATTAAAATTCAAAATTAAAGTTTCAAATTTAATTTGGCAACATGAAAACGATGAAGTGATGAATAAGCTTCAATAATCCGAAAATCAAACTTTTGAATTTAGTTAAGATTACCAATAATTTCAAAATGTTTCGTTTTTTCCTTTCTTTCTTGCTATCGGTAGAATTAAATGTTTTTTCTTTTCATTTTCTAACTTTTTTATTTGTTACTCAAATTTTCGAAAATATATTTGTTGGTTGTGTTGTGCTATGTGTAATGGCTTCCCACTATAGCCAAAAACCGGTTTTGCTAGTGTATTTCGATTAAATTACGCATGAAGCAAACATTTCATTGGTTATTTTTCAGGTTTGATAAATTTCAATCAAAAAAAAAATATTGAATTATTGCAAAATTTATTTATCTAACTTTCCTTCATTTTATTAATGTTGCAACATACCATTAAATAAATTATATGTATTATAATTATTATTACGAGTTATTATAGTAATCATCGTGATTACAGTTTTTACTATTTTTTTTTTATAAATGGTTATAATATGGTCATTTTCTTGTTGCAAACAACTGATATGTATCATAAATGTGATTGCATTTTAGTGCAGTGGTTGTAGTGATTATAGTTCATGTATTGCAATTATCTTTTTTATGAAATGCTTAACTAATACTTATTAAGGTAATTATTGAAATAAAATTAAGAATAAAACAGATCAGTTAAGTTGAAATAATTTTGTGTTTAGAAACTTAAATTAATCCATCAAATTTAATAGATGCAATCAAAATGAAAAATTTGATATTTATTACAAAGAAGCCAGCCAATACATTATTGATTGAGCAGAGATAACGAGGAGACTGTTATACCAAAAAAGGTAATAAATAATGAAAACGACCCATCAAAGAAAAGTAACAGTTTGATAGTATGCACATAATTAAAGAACTGTGTAATTAATTAACTGTTGAAATAATAAAAATTATTAATCACGTAAGATAAGATCGGAAAGAGTTTTTACCAAAACGAAGAATGTGAATAATAACAAAGTTAAATCAGGTGGTTAACTTAAACTTTGTCTTTTTCGTAACCCTAACACCTACAAAACCTAGTTTCAACTTAATTAATGGCAGTTAACTTTTCAACTCATCCAATATCTATTAATGTTAAAAGTAAGAATAAATAAAATCAATCAGTCAACAAGAAGACTTCCATAATATTTATTGTTGTGATAAGTTGCGGATGAGAAAAGGTAGAAGAGAGGAATGAAGAAATGATTAGTTGTCACTTCAAGCCATAATTCAGGAAAACTGGAAAGCATTCATCCCGAATGGAAGAGGAGACATATGTGCACTGAATATTCGATATGCCTTTTATAACTGATAGAGCACTTATCTCAGTTATGGAAATTACCAAATGAGACGATTTTGTTTCGAATTGAGTGGAATAAAATGAAAGAAAATGAGGATTGTAATATGTAATATTAATTAATATTTGTAGGTTAGATAAATAAATGTGCAAAGTGCAACAAATTAAGAAATGAATTTTTGGTTCTTATTATATATTATTAGTTTTCATCTCATTAATTTTCCTTATCATAAGGTTTATCTTTGCTTCTTTCTTCTTATCAGTCTATGAATGAATGCAAATGATATTAATAATGCTAATGCGAATGCAAAGTAGCTTTTTATTTGATAAAAAAACATAAATATGTCATACTTTTTATTTAATACAAACTAAAATACGCCAAATTTCTTGTCAAATCTTTCACTGAGTGATAACAGCATAGTGTTTGCATGATTTCAATCTTTGTCAAAATTATCAAAATAATAATTTCACTTACAAATTGTTAGTAAATTTACAATCCTCTTATAGTAATCAAATATAATAATATTAGAATAGCTATGTCTGTCATCATAAAAATTGACTAATATCATTACATGATGCAATATTTTTAGAATTTCAATGAGCATTTTTTCACCCCAAGCATATTCTATCAAGCATCATAAATAAAATTTGACGTTCATTTTACGAGAAGATTGCTTGTAGCAAAAAAGGAAGAAGAAAATATGCTTTATTTTAAAAAAAAAGAAAATATTTTAAGTTCAAAACTTAAAATTAATACAAGAAAAAGGAAAAATTGAAACGGTTTTCATTTATTTTGTCATTTTTCTTTTTTTTGAAATGAAAATTGAGGAGATAAAATCAAATAAATAAGTGGAAGATAAAAAATAGTAATAGAATGAAACAATTGTGGTTATACTTTAAAATTAATAAAGGAAAAGGATAAAAATAAAGAAGAAGATAGGTGGAGAAGTATGATGAAGAGAATGTTTTGATGAATTGTAATATTAATAGCACATAGTATAGAAACAATTGCCACAGTTATTGTTATGGAATGGGAGAATAGGTGAGAGTGTAAGAGATAAGAGTTAAGAGTAAGGTATGTTGAACAGAAATGAAATTTCAAACAATTATAAACAGCAAAGATAAATATGTTTTCCAGAAATATTGCATTTCCAAGTGCAAAAATATGCTTTCAAATGTAAATGTTCTCTTGCAAAACAAACTAGATGGATAAAAAATAATAGACAGCTTTTTTCTCAAACTTCATAATTCATTGATCAAAACGAAAGGCTTTACAAAGGCCTTTTTCTTATCAGTTCTTTACATTGAAATATCCAAAATGGTTATCGTAAGATTGATTACTTAGTTTTCATTGAGACGGATGCTCAGATCTTTAGAAATCTAGCCACAAAGTCATCGCAAAAGTCGGATATAGTTTGATTATTGCAAATGAATGGAACTCCATGGTGTGATATTTGCAAGTCAATTATATTTCTCTCTCCTCATGACGATTGCAAAACTGTTCATCTTGTTTTAGCATAATTTTTTTATTTTAAATTAATGGCTTCTCGAAATCTTTTCAAGCTCAGTGTGTGAATTTTGCAACTTTCATATCAAAAATTTGAACAGTGAACATCTTAGGGTTTTTTGATATCGATAGCGTGTTAAAAAGTTAACAACTTCGTCGAAAGTCTGTAAACCATTGCCTACTAAAAATTCTTCCAGAAAACTAATCTTCTCAACACCCTATTATTCATTCTGCCAAATTTCGTTTACAGTCATTTACAACATTGAATGCAACGAATGCATATGAAGTAATGCAAATTAATTAGAAACACACATTAGCGAAGCAAAATATAAATCAAAGCAATTAGTCAAAATTCCTTGGCATGTATAAGTTTCTTTCTCATCATTTTAAGTTCTTTACCAGTTTTTGATGAATTGAATTAATCATGAATCACATTAATCTAAAGATATAAAATACAAAAAAAAAAAATTGCACAGTTCAATTCACGACTCTTCCAACCGGCTCAAATACAATATACAGATCATGCAATTTCTAAAATCTACTAAGTGTTTCAGGACTTCCGAAGCCTCCGATTATCGACTGGCGATGGAGAAGTTGATGAAGATGGTGCTTTGCGTTTTCTCATCTGTAAAGATGGAGTTACTAATTAAGAAAAAATAAAGTGAAACAAAAAATTTTATAACATCCTGATTTTAGAAAGAAAAGATTAAAACAAGAAGAATATGTTTTCAAAATATAATGGAGAAACAAAACTAAAGTGAAACTACTGATTTTTGAAAAAAATAAAGCAATATAATAATACCGTCTGCGGTAAGGAAGTGGTCAATTCAATCATATCAGTGATTGTTCGGCTCGTCGTTGGTGCACCCTCAGTACCTAATTGCGGTGCATCCGTAACACTTGATTCACTTGCTGTTCGTACCCTCATTCTGGGCTCAATATCGAAAGTCTATAAAATGACAAATAAAGTCCAACTTATAGACATGAATTTTTGATTAAAAACCTCCAGTTATTCAATCAGAAGAAATCAGCAATGGTCTGGAATCAAAGAAATTATTTTCCTATCAGCCGATGTTTCATTTGTTCATTGGTAACTGATCTGTTCAAATTTATTGTTTAAGCTAGAGCTTATCCACGTCATATTTATAACAGTGAAATCCAAGTTCCACTTTAAACCACTTGCACTGAATATTAGCAACAAAACAAATATAAGCTAACCTTTCCACTTAAAGCATTATAACGTGTTCTTAGTGACTCTAACTCAAATTCAGCTGAATGCAATGAATGCTTCAGTTCTTGCAGGAGCACAATACGAGCTCGAAATTCGTTATAACCTTTCACAATATCTGCCACTCCGAATGGTACCAAATCTTTAAAAAGTATAGAAACTTGTTTAACAGTCTTGTGTGAAATCTTCTCGTCTGATCGAATTTTGATGAAACTCAGTGATTCTAGTTTTCCTTGAAAAAGATGACACAGATCTGGGAAAAAAGTAGGTTTAATTACATGAAATCATCAAAAATAACTATCAAAATAACAAAGTTACCAAGTTTGAGCTTTTCAATGACAGTTTCAATATTTTTCAATTTTTTCTGTCCTATATTAGTTGGTAATTTCATTTCTTGACTCCTCAAATGTGCGCCAGCGCTTCGGAATTCCGGAAATCGTAGATTTGAGTGATCCTAAAATATCATTCATTTAGTTCCACACTTTCATTTTGGTAATTAGAAATCGTACCGCAGAATTACTGTAAAAAAACAAACAAAAAAACTGTTACCTGGATAAATGATGCACTAATGGAGGGATTTGGTATAGACGAAGTCTTGAGCAGTCGAGACTTGTGAGATTTTTTCATATTAGAGCTGGGAACAACAGATACAGTACTGCAAAAGAAAATTCAAATAATAAACTAGAAATGTTTACGTTACAAATCCAAGCTTTTTAACTTGCTCCTATTCATTAATTCCTTACTGGCTATCAGTTCACAATTTTTGATTCGTATTTCTACTTTTCATCCTTTTCTCATTCTATCGCCTTAAACTTACTAACAAAATTACAAAATTTTAGCAAATACATATACCAAACAAAATCAGATATAACATGCTAAAATAACAAATTCATTAAAATTCACTGCAATACCGATGCAAAATAACAAATATAATGATAAAAAGATATTAAATTGAAGATAACGGAGAGGAAAGGTAACAAAGATGTACAAAAAGTAAAAAAAAAAAAAAAAAAACTGAAGCTCAACACGGCAGTCCTTAATGAGAAATTAAATGGAATTCAAAGGATTTTACAAATACAACTTACGAAGTGGATGGCGATGCAGGTGTTCTTTCACCTGCAGTGATTAATTTTTGGAGGTCTTGAGCTTTCCTCTCACGCTCGCGTTTACGTACCTCAATTTTCTTTAACTCAGCAATCAACATTTCTTCTTCTTCGATCTGAAAACACTTTCAAATGTGTCGACAGTAACATTTCACCAATTTAAATACCACAGCAAAACATGCAAAATTTCCAATGTAGTTTCTGCCTTGAAGTTACCTTCCACATTTTAGGTCGTACTTCTAAAATAAGAGCATGAAAAGTTACCTGCTGTTCTGTACGATTCCACTGTTTTATCAGTTGTTCTTTCCGTCTCTTTTCATGTTCCGCATCATAATATAGCGCATCTGCAGTTTCATTTTTCAATGCGTGCAGTTCATTTATTGCATTATAAAACCGTTCCTTCATCTCTTCCATAGTACGACGAGTTGAACCTTCCCACCTGTCTACAATAATTACCCACCTGCAAAAACTTCAACATTAGCAAGAGATCACTGTCAGAGTACTCCTAAACACAACTTTATTGAATTTGATTTCAACCGCAATCAACTTAGCTTCACACCTTAAATCAAAACGCCGACAAAGATCGAACAGATGGCGGGTATCCCTTTTGCTCCATTTTGCGGAATTTAAACATTTGTCATATTCAGCATCAGTGAATGTTGGCACATTGATAACCTAAATCTTCACAATAAGCTATATTACGAATTTCGTCGAATATCACATTTTATAAATAACGAACATAAAATACACTCAAGACAATGTACAATTCAGAAGTTAAACTGATAAAAATTAAGCATTACAGTAATGGAAATATTCAACAAAAGCAATATGAATAGAAGCTAAAAACATAAACCATACACCTTAGAGTTAAACAGTTGTTAGGAAAACCTTTACGAAACCATATCAGCAGTCACAAATGCCTGTTTGCTATTTTACATTGAAAAGTCAAGCGATGTATGTCTTGTGTGAATAACAACCAGAAAACGGTCAGATGATGATGCCTGTGTGGATGCATGTTCCACAAACTGATAAAGAGAAACCATAGAATAAACATGAAGAAAAAAAAAATAGTACACCTTGTTGAATCTAGCAAATGGGTAAACATCATCCACTTTATCCGCCCGTTTCCAATGATTTAATTTCAAGCCATCGGTACGAGCAGCATTTTCAAATGGAGTCCATTCCCATGGCCGAACACGCTTCATACCAATCTTACACAAAAAGTCATTATACAAATTAATCGAAATTTATAACATTATACATTCACCTATAATTAAAACATTATATCAAACAAAAAACAAAAAAAAAAAAAAAAATCATACGACAAAGATTAACTCAAAATACGTGCACCCAAGGAATAAATTCACCAAAAAACCTAAATCTTTTCTAAATTTCTCTCTTCCTTTTTATTTGAAAACCCTTACTCGAGCTTTCTGATGACAGTAGCCGGTGTTTTTAGTAGTTGTCGGCATAAGAGCCGCAAAATTCCGTTCTCGGTCCAACAAATTGTATAATTCACGATGCATACCTTCTGGTCGCTTGAAATATGCATCACTACGGTGTGATTTCTTATGCTGTAACGAGCACTCACGAGTCAATTTAAATCCCTCGAATGAAAGTTGAAATTTGAATAGCTGGCGATGATTTCTTTATTTCAATTTGGAAATCTGTGGAAAATACAACATATTAAGCTGAATATAAATCTCGCTTCATGCAAATCTATAATTACTTAAAATCAGTATTCATTTTCATTCAATGATCAATGTTTGGCATAACATCTATTCGTCGAATGTTTAATATTTAAATTATACATATAATTACTTGAACTGACAATAAATAAACAAATTCGACAATAAAACAAAACCTTCCGATCAACATCTGTTAAGCCACCAGCTGGAATTAAGCCATCGTCCTTTCCTGCACTGCTGCTTAAGCCAAGGATGTCCTGCGCATCCGCTGTATTCATCCTAAAAGCCATATAAGATGTATGGCAACATATTTACCGCCGACATTTGCCCAATCATTTAACTATGAATTTTGATTGAAAATAATCTAAGACAAATTTTATATTTCACAGTGTCCAACTATATTTTTCAAAGCGTTGAAAATTCATTTATTTTTTCCTGGAGCGAAGATATTCAGATCACAGCACATTACCACTTATCATTTAATACTATAAATGATCACTGCCTACACAGCTCCAGCCATTCAATATGAAAAGTGAAGTAATCAGTTAATTACAAAAACATAAACGAATGATACTCTCATCACAACTATAAACTAACGAACTTCCCATCTCTATACTTTTCTCACTACAAGTATTCACTATTTAGCATTTCTTTCAATCCCTGCGCACTGCCCTTCACAAATGTTTAACAATCTATGGCACTCCCCTTCACCAGCACACTCCCTCCCCGCTCTACACATGGACAACAATCTCAAACGATAACAAACTCATCAAACACACATACTATCTCTCTAAAAATTAAGCCGTCACAACATACAAACCATATTGTCTGTGTTACCGTGACAGGCTCGGTTTGATTGACTTCAGATCTCTGTGATTCAATTCTTAGAACTTGCATTTTCCTTCTGTTTGATTTTTCTTCAGTAATTGCTCGGATCTAAACTGGCTTTTCAAATTAATTCTGACAAATTAAACTTGATCAATTAATTCAAATAAATAATCATTGATATTTGATTGTAAGACCCACAAAGTTCATTTTCTATCATTTAACAAATGGGATTGTTTATCACATTATATTCAACAGTTATGCGAATTTCTAATATTGCCAAACTCTAAAATATTATAAAGGATGTGTCCGATGCAAAACCTTTGCAAATTATATGCAGATGTTTGAACTCACATATTTCCAATATAATGTTTACCTCATTAAATCCTTTATACATTGTTTCCAGTCTGATGTTTGTCACCTTAAATCACCTTTTTTGTCTTATTTACATTACTGTATGATGACCTTTGAAACTTAGTAAAGGTTTTATTAGGAACACTTCCATCTTAATTATACTTATGTAAATACACAAAGGTAAAGTTCAACTTATCTAAGGATTTCCACTACTCGTATTTTAATTTTCCTTTACAAAATTTATTGTACTTTTATTTCTATTTATAAAGGAATTGTATTCTTGCCTTATCTCACACTATGAACATCTAGATCAAACGAGTCTCCCCGAGATCAGGGAAAGAGAAATTCTCCAAGAGAAATTATTAACCTTCTCTAACTTTTACTCCGAAAGATTATTTCCCAGAACAGTGATCAAACAGCAACCATCATCGTATGATCAATTTTGAATTCAAATTCTTCAAAAACGAAGTAACCACTTTGTTTATTAAAACTTCTGAGAGTTACGCACTAATTTACATATTGTGGAAATTTATATTAATGAATTGGAATATAAATGAAATAAAATCAAACAAACTGGTCATTTTGTTTATTCATTGTATTTGTTAGGCGATCTCTCTATGCCAATTAGTGAATATCTAACTACTGGTACGCAAGAAAAGTATCATTTTGATCGCGGATCAAATTATCTCAGAAATTTCTGCAGACGAGATAAAAGGATTGATTGCTAGATAGATATAAATTTTTGCCTTTGCATTTTAGAAGTTGGCAGGCTTATACTTTGTTTATCTTTCAAAACAGTCTCTAAGATGAGCATTTGAAGGACTTTTCAAAATGGCATAATAAAGTTGAATTTTCACATATACTCTCCAAAAGTTTTTCTAAACAATTTTTACCAAAAAAGCATTTAAAATACTACGAAGTATTGTAAAAAAGATTTGTTAGATTGGGAATGGTAAAGATTTGCTTCTAAAGCTTTCAGAAGTTTCTTTACTTAGTTTTGTGGCTCAAATGTTCCTAGCTTGCTTGTCAATTTAATTTGAAAAATAAACAATAAATACTAAGATAAACGTAAAATCAACAATAAAGCACACAAAATAAACAATAAAACAATAAATGGTTAAAAATAAACAATAAACAGATTTGTAGGAAATGACAATTTTCCGAAAACAAATACATCGCCAAAAAACGCCAGCTTAAAGAATTTAGCAGCGTAAATTTTTTTAAAGTGAAATCTTATGAGTTTTTTAAAAATAGTAAGGAATGAAACGTTGGTATTTTATTAAATAATTACGAGTTATTCAGAAGTAAAGATAGCAAAGTAAAGGATGAAAATGAGTTAAAAAGGAAAGAACTGGAAAGCTCAGCTGCCAAAAAAAGCTCTCTTCGCAATTTGACGAAAATTCGCAATCTACTTAATATATCACTTAAAATTCGAAAAGTATAGTTCTGTTTTTTCCCAAATTTAATAAAGCGCAAATCTGCAACATATCAAAATAGTTGCACAGATACATAAACGAATAATATTAGCTACATTGACTATGCTTATGTTTTATTAGAATAACTTCAACATCACTTTTACTTTTATCGATTATTTCAATGATTTCTTAACAGGAATTTTCATATTCTTGAATTTTAAATCTATTATACATGTCATCGATGCAAATGTTAAATTATCACTGTTATTCTTCAGGGAAAAAAAATACCGAAACCATTGGAACGTTTGGAAGAATCAGTAGTGGAAGATGGCGAATTAGGTAAAGAGCCATCTGATCAATTAAAAACTAAATCAAACGAAGATATTCAAAAAAACATATTAACAAAAACAGGTATAATATCACTTGATTAAAATTTGAATAAAACTAATTACAACTGTATGATTATATTTTTATCCAAATACTATAATGGAAACTGTACATACTTGGAAATGTAGCTAACTGTCCATCAATATGTAATAGCTATCAAATACCGGCGAAGTTGACAGTCATTAGTTTTGATAAATAAAAAAAAATTCATATTTTGGTAATATCATTTCCTTCTATTAGTCTTTTCTACGCTTAATATCTGATTGTTTGTCTAACTGTCGGTATTTCTTCATCGAACAAATGAACGAACTTTGTCACCAAGACAATATGGAACCATAATTTTGTCACGTTTTCAAATAAAGGTATAAATTCAAAAAAAGCATTTCAATAAAAAAAAAAGAGAAAACTATTAGCAAATAAAAAAAGTAAAAAGTCATGTACGATTTAGCAAATTTGTTTGCATATTCGTATTAAATGATGATATTGGCATGATTTCAGAAATCAACAATTAATTATTAATAAAATCCATTTTTCACCTTCAAGGAAAGTTTAATTAAAAACTAGCTTTAAGTTTTAATCAAATAGATTCTGTTCCCTTACTTGATCGAACACAATCTGACGTTACACTACAAGAAGCGCAAACAGCGAAGCAAATACCTGCGTCATTACATTTACCACTCCCGAACGAATCTACATATATTTTGGATGACGATCGTACACAAGGGACAGCGGTTCATTTAACTTGGATATTACATTTAACATGAAAAACTTGAAAAACTTATGATGATAGGAAGCCTTTTTACATATTTCACAGTGTAAAATGAAGACCTACAATTTTAAAATGTCTAATTTAAAGTTGGACTAATCAAAGTGAATCTTAAAATTAAAATATTACATTGGATTTAGAAGAAAATTGGTATTGGTAAGTGCAAGTCTGAGTGAGGTTATTTCCGACTTTCCTCCGACTATGCTTAATCTGAAGAATACAATATTATGGCCGTTAATAATCTTCCAACTTCGTTCTTTACTCAATTTTCACTTTCACATATTATAGTTCTTGCAGGCGCCTCTGCATTACGATCCAAAAATTCTGGAAGTGAAAGTGAAACGCCGAATACGACTTTATGCTAAAATATCATTCTGCATGACATTTATAATCTTATCAATAACATTTATTATTTTCATTATTGCTATGTTCGGTAAATTAAGAATTTAAAAATTTCTACTTGCAGCTTTCAATTCTTCTTCATATATTTCAATGAATCCATATAGCACTTAATGATAATCTGAATATTTCATTTCAAATGTTAAAAAACATATAACAAAAGGCAGATCATCTATTAATTAAATTTTCAAATTGCCAAATATTGAGTTTTAAACTTAGTTGAAAATATATTAAATTAATTTAATCAGCCAAATTTATCATCGTAATCATTTTTCAGGTTGGTGGATTTCATTTACAGCATATGGGATGCTTAATTCTGAGCGTTTAATTCGATTGGAAAATGATGAACATAATTTACTAATGAGACAGGTTAATTAATTTATTAGTTCTAAGCTTGTCATGTTTGCAATGCAATGTAATACAATAAACTTGAATTTAATTCTAAAAGTTGATGTTGATGTTTTTGTTTTTGTTGGTTAATATCAATTGAACAAATGAAAGAAATGAAATTTTCTATGTCTCTATTTCTATTTAATTAATCAATAAATTCATTGAAGTTATAAATAGATAAGCATTCAAATTTAAAAAAGTTTATTTCAGATTGCATCAGCAGATGGTATGAGGCATCGGTGTAACTATCAAGAAATTTCAACTTTACCATGGAGTTCGTGGACAGAATGTCTTCGAAGTACGATGCAATCAGTCCAGTGGAGATGGCGAAATCTTTCATATGGATTATATTTTGTAGATCAACAGCTCATTAATATCAAAGGGTGTTAATTAAAATTGATATTTAAATTATTTGTGCAATACATCCATGTTTTCATCAACTTTAATTATTAATTAGTGTCATTTTGTTAAAGAAATTCTTCTAGTGGGTTAATTTTCTGATAGAAATAACAACCAATGGAAAAAAACCAAGCAAGATTGTTTTTTATAGAAAAAAAAAAAAAAAAAAATATTGATTGAGAGTAAATCAAATTATAGCTCAATTACAGTTAGGTTTAAAATTTAATCATGAAATTAGAATTATTCAAAGGTCTCCATGCTTTTAGTAAATAACGTCCTAACGTTCTCTTTCATCGATTTGAAAATTTCATTTGCTTGTCTTTTTGTTTACCAGATGATGAGAGCAGTAGTAGTAGTAATATCTAAATCTTCCTTTTTTTGACTTTTATTTAAATAATAAAATTTTATTTGACTTTAAATGAAATTTTCCTTTTTGACGAATCTTATCACTTGTCACTAATCAATGTTATTTTAAGCCAATTACTTGGATTCTTTCGATTCATTTGCTTGTAGCTTAGGAAAAAAATTTTGATATTGTCGTTTGTAATCATTCAAATATTTGACGTGTACTTTGAAAGTTTGAATGTTATATCACAAAATATATTGTAATTAATTTTCAAGCGTTTTCTTTAAAATTTTTCCCTTCTTTTCTGATTTATTTTTTCTTGCTTACTTCTTATCATTGTAAGATAATCCTTTTTTTTTTTTTTTTGCATTTCTTTTTTTAGTCTTCTTCATTTGTTTCCTTTTCCTTCTTTTTTTTTTTAAAATTCTTTTTCAAGTTTTAACAATGAAAGAAATCTTACATATTTCGAAGAGAACATTGATGCAAATAGTTGCAACTGAAAATATTAGAGGAAAGGGTATCGATGTAATTGATAAGATATTAGGATTTAGAGTAAATTATTCTGCTCAGTGAAGCTAATCCATAATTTATTAGTCATAAGTACTATTCTTAAGTATTGCTCATTCATGATAAGACAATTGAAAATTACCTGTACTGATAAATAGAAAATTATGATAACAACAGTTACTAGCTGTTATCATCACAAAAAAATTACTTTAAAATATTTTCCAATATTAAAAGTATTATGAGTTTATTTTCAAAAAGAAAAATGACATTGGAAATGCACATAAACTTCGTTTTCTTTTCATTTTCAAATTAAACAAATTTTGAATATTTATGAGAAATTAGGAAAGAAAAGAAAACTAAATTAAATGCGTTAAAATTTAATTAAAAGTTTTTTGTATTTTTTGTTTATCATTTTTTCAAACTTTTCTTCAATTTTTAAAATGTAAAATTTGGTTATCGATTAATAAATTACATGCATATTTCTATTACTGATTTTTCTGTTATATCATTATTATAGTGAATAAATGGTTCATGTTAATGCTAGCAATTTTTAGTAATGAAATAAGAATTGAAATTCAAAATATGTCACAGATTAATTGAATGCAAATTCGTCATTCATTGTCAAATGTCGTCCTCCTAATAATGAAATCTTATGATGTAGCAGTGGACGACATTATTATGATCATTGAGCTATTTTGTCTGATTTTTTTTTTTGTTTAGATTTAAATAAATATTCGATAAAGAGTTAAATATTTGAACCTTCAATCAATTTCATTGCATTTTGTCTATTGTGGGAGCAAAAATTTAAACAATTAAAGTTCAAAGTTTAATCAATTATTAGATATATGCATGTGGAGATTAAATAAATTAGGATTAAATATCTACTTTTGCATGCAACATGCATTTGCATGTATGCACGCAAAAAAAAACTCATTATTAGTTTGTTGATTAGTTTAACTTCTAATTAGTTTAAAAATGGTTCATTTTTTTTTAAAAAAAACTTAATTTTATTGGTTTTTCCAAATTTATAAATTGCATTAATTTTTCTTTTTCCAACAAAAAAAAAAAAAAAAAAAAAGAATTGATACATTGCTAATTAACTATAGTTTTCACTCGACTTCAATGATTATGAAGTGATAAAACATTTAATATTGCTATTGTTTATTGTAAAAATTTTTTTAATGATGTTAAATTTATGACATTATTGATAAACATAATTCAATTTATTCTATCATGCTCTGATTTGTTGAATTCGGCACTTTTCATAAAAAAATCCTACAAATGAATAATTTTTTCATGCATAAACAAATTTAATCTAAATATTTCCAAAATTTTTTCTTTTCATTTCCTTTCTTTCATTCCTCATTCATTTTTTTCAAAGTTCAAATATTTACAAAAATAATTTCAATCATTTTATCTTCAATAAAATACTTGCACTGCTTCTCTTAAAAGAAATTTATGATGTCAGTTCAAATTCCTAGATATGTTTTTCTTATACTCTAAAAAAAATTTTTGGCATAATGTATATGCATTAGATTAAATGCTTAAAAATTTGAAAAAATTTCTTCATACTTCAAATTGAGCATAAAATCACAGTAATATGCAATCGTATCTTTCTAATATATTTTTCATATATTCGTTTAAAAATGAATTTATCACCAATGTTATGATACAAATGTATGCTTATGAAAATACAAATAATTGACAAATTAAATTCATCAATTTTACTTTTCAGTTTTTATAAAAATAAAAAAAAATTAAAATGAAATGCATGCTGAATACCGATCGATTTATTGATCAGTAATATGACATTATGATAAATGTAAATTTCATTTTGTCATTAAGAGATGCTCCCTGAAACAAATGGATGAAAGATAATGAAGTGTTCTGTAAAAATGAACAAATGAAGACTTTTGATTTCTTGATAGGCCATTGGGCAATTTCAGAATAATAAGCTTTGGAAATAATTTATGAAATTCGGAGTGTTATCGTTCTTATTGATTAAATTATCTGTTAGACACAATAATTTTATTATTTTAATATTTTTTTTATGAACAAATAATAGAAGCCTTTTAACACTAAAATTTAAATTTAAAATGTTTTACACTTAATAAATTTACATTAAATAATAGTATTAAATTATTGCTTTATTCACTTCTTAAATCTTTTCTAAATATTAAATTATAACATAAAATACTAATAATAATGGAAAAGAAAAATTTCACAAATTGTTAGCAATAAACGAAATCTTCTTTTCTTCAGTGTGTTTTTCAAAATTACGACACATTGAAATTTGATGAAATTTGATTATAGTCAAAAGCATTTGCCTTTTCATCTCGCTGTCTTTGTAAATGCTGTCAACTCCTTTTTTATTTCTAAATTTAAATGAATGAAAAGAGAGAAAGGGAAGAATGATCATATCATTTTATCTAATCATTTATCATTTGCCCTCATTGTTTCCCTTTATTTTGTTTATCCTTTCAATTGCTTTATTCATTTTTATTCGTCAGCTTACTATAACTTCGTGTACTTTTACATTTTTTTGTGAATTTTCTTCCTTTTTTTGAAAGTAAAAAAGAAGAAAAACACAAATTAGACATCCATGAGAGTAAATGTCATTTAGAATAATTACCTTGCATAATAATTAATTCATAATTACTTTTAATTATAGTATAATTAATAGTTTACTAATTAATTAGTTCCACTGATCTCATTAGCATCGTTATTAATTAAGTAATTAAAATGATTATTTCATGATCACTTCATATATTTGAATGATCATTATTAATAACATTATTATACGTTATCGTCAGTTAATATTAGTGCTTTTGTCCTATTACTATCATAATTTTTTTTTTTAATTTACTATTATTTGAATATATTTAGCATTTGAAAAAAGTTAAAAAACTTGATAGAAATAGGAAATTTTTGAAATATTTCGAAGATTGCTAACGTTCTTATTTCTAATACAAAACATATTAGCAAAGCAATTATTAATCATTCTAACTCAAACTTAAGTGATAGCCAAATCAACAACAACAACAACAACAATAAAAAAAAATTAATCCAGTGGATAAGTACCACTTTAAAATCAAACAATTTAGCAAGCTGATGAATTCCCAGTAAAGCTGATGCTTTCTAGATTAAATTCAAAATCAAATCTCCTAACAAATGAAGGATTAATTTTGCTGTTTTGGCTACCATTTAAGCCATGAAAAATTTGACACACCCATATGCACAGACACACACACACACACACACACACACACACACACACACACACATACACACACACACACACACACACAGATTGATAAATTTGTTTTTCATTGCCGTTCGATTCATTTACACATTCCAACATTACTATTTATCCATCGATTCATCAATCTATTGATTTATTAATTAGAAAAGAAGAAAATTAGAATTAAAACATTTTTGGATAAAGTTTTATCATATCACTAAGTTATTATTTACTTACATTATTGTCACATTTCAATGAAGCATTCCATATAGAAAAAGAAAAAAGAAATGAAACGCTGAAGAATTAAGGAATTGAAGCAATTTGCAAAATAATAAATCTTAGTCTAAGATGGAAAAGCATTTGGAAATATTTCGTACAGGCATAGTAAATAAATATAAATAAAATTATTAGATGAGATTATCAGTAAGGCCTATAAAAATATGTGTGTGTGTGTGTGTGTGTGATATATGTGACACTCAAACTTGCTTATTTCTCATATGCTTACAAATAGATGGATGAATTGTTTGAGAAAAAGGTAAAGTTTAGCTATTTCCACAATTTCTCCTTCATCTCACATCTATCATTTTTTATTTTTTCCCTTTTCCTCTCTTTTCTCACAAACAAAATTCAAAAAAAAAAGAAATTTTTTTTAAGGCATTGATTGTCTCATTTATAGACTAATCTATCTCTTTAAGGAAAGTAGTTTTGTTTGTTAGGCTTATAATTTATTCCTAACAGCAATTTAATTGAAGTAGTGATTACTTAGCTATCATTTGAGCACTGTCTTGTGGTGATAAGTAATGTAAAAGTATTCATCTTTTCTCATTTTATATTTTAACTTATGGTACTTTACAGAGTTATATTATAAGGGAAAGTTTTTTTTTTTCGTCAAATTAA